CGATCCCTCACCTCAGTAATTGCCAACTGCAACCTCTGATCCGTCCTCATCTCGTCTTCTTTTCCCCCTTCTACGTTTATCTTTAGCCTCGCCTCCTGCCTACCGTAGCTATAGTCCAGTATAGTTGTCACTGTAGGTCCTTCTCCCGACATTTGCTCCCACTTTCAGAGGGAATGGAGGCACCTTGGCCTGTAGCCATGCAACCCGCTGCTACACACCATGGTCGCCCCCTTTTCGGTCAGCTCGCACCCTGATACCAAGCCACAAAAGCCTAAGATAGTCAAAGCCAAACACTCGGCGCAAGCACACACGAACAGGGCTCCCCCGTGCTCACACTGCAGCACAGCCCCCTGCTCGGCTTCACCAACCAAAATAGCGCGCCGGCAAGACTACTTGAGCCTAAGTCGCCAAAGACTCACTCCCTTTTCTTTTATAGAGCTACCACTTACCGCAATCCCTACGCTTTTGAACAAGAGGACAAACTCAAATAACTTTTTGAATTCTTATATTTTATTATCTGAGTTTTTTAGAAATAAAAAAAATAAACAGGTGGAATAAAAGGGAGGAGCTGAAGGCCGAACCCCAACAGTCACATTATGAGTAAAACTCTCTACAGTCCATCGCAGCCCCTCCGTTTCCTGAGGTGACGTTCTTGCTGGCGCGGCGGTCCCATAATGGAGTACTACCCAACTCCTCACTTACCCCATAAGGCACCCACGGGCTACCACTAACGGGCACCCGCGTGCGATGGTAAGGAGGGGGCTTATGACCCTCTACGGGGGGTAATAGGCCTCCTACCAAGGCGGTCGCGGATTGCCCCTCTTTTGGAGTTCCACCAGTGCGGCGTTCATCCGGAAGGTCAGACAGGCGACAAGTGAAAGGTCGGTCAATTCGGGCCACCCAGGCCAAAATCCGAAACTTGAACCGTTGGCCTTCCTGCGAAAAGACAGAAGAGAGATTTAAATAAAGCAAAATCGAAAATAATTTTAATAACAATAGTAATAATATCAATGACAATAGCAATAAAACTAAGAAAAGGGAAGAAAGTTATAACGCCTCTGCTGCCATACGTCGCAGGGTCATCACGAACTAAGGCGAGAGCCCAAAGCAGCTAATAAACCCGACGTACAACTTCCTTTTCTTTTACTTTTCGTTTTTTCTCTTCTCCCCATTTTCCGTAGCCTTCTCGTGTCTGCCAGTGATCACAGAAACCCATGCATCTAACCCATAACCTGGCCAAAAGGCACTCGGCGCGCTATAGGAAAGACCGCGCCGGTCCTTCAACTTTCGCGTCCCTGGGCGAGCCCGACCGCTACCACGACCACAGGACGGTAGTGCTCTGTTGTACAGCAGGGCACCTAGCCTGCGTGGACCAATGGAAAGCCTAGTGACGCACCCCCAACCTTTTGCTAAGCTGTGCGCCAACTGGATCGGTCCATAACAGGGCATAACCCAGGTGTACCAAGAGAACCACGGAGGTTCGGAAACAGCCCGACGAACCACAAACGTGTAAGCAGGGCGCTGGTACCGAGCAGGAGTCTGGCACAGAAGAGGGTCGGGACACCGCGCCCTCCGACAGTGCGCGCGCACACACACACACACACACACACACTTA